AACTCTCTACAGTTTTATTATTTAAGTATTTTAATATAATTTCTTGTTTATAGAATCAATAAACAATCTTACTCTTTCGATTTCCCAACGGAAAGATATATTATGGACGTGAATCCCTCATGAATAGATCAATCATAAATAATAACGGTTATAAAATAAAAAAAAGTAAATCTACGATTAAAACTTTATGCGTTGTTTCAAAGTCTAACCCAATAACGTTACATGTATGTGTGTGGTTAATTATTATTATTTAAAGGGTGGTATTTAATACTTTAACTGTAAATTCCCTTTTTTCAATCAAAATATTCGAAATTAAGCTTAACTGTTTTACTGAATGACTATCTTTTAACTAAAAGTAAATCTAATACTTCTTCGAGTGCAACTTAACCTTACCTAACCCATAATCTTAGGGCCATAAAAAAACAAAACCTAACCTAACCTAATATTCAAAAATTTGTGTGCAAATCAGTATTTTTGTTTTACGGTTAATTTTTTTGATATGCAGTACGTTATTAGTGGAGAAATTTGGTTCGCTTAAATTTTTAAATAGAGGTGCAGTCAAAAATCTCTTGATTTTAATATTCCACGAATGCAATAACTATACGGTTCACGGTCAAATAATATAATACTACATTTCATATGATATTTATCTATAATGTACTTTATAGTCACGCTCTACACAAATACTATACTCCAGTTATCACCGGCCACTACTACAACTGACATTAACACCAAACTACATCGTTCCCATAGACCATAGATTATAGTCCCCCCTCCATAGATAAGCCAACCGTAACATAACACTAAAAGCCATTGGTCTAGATACTACACCGCGAGCTTCACAAGCTGTAGTAACTACATCTTTTAACCTCTTGTCTGTTAACATATCTGAGACACAGTGGATAACACATTGTGTCTCGCGTAGATCTAGTATAGTAGTAGGTTTCTAGTGTGAGAGAGTCATGTTTCGGCACGAATGGGCCGGCTCAACCGGAGTGATACCACGACCTCACAGAAAACCGACGTGACGCAACGCTTACGTTGTGTTTATCGTATCAGTGATGTTACCGGGGACCCAATTACCCTCTCCCCTTCCCCAGTCTCCCCAATCCCTCAATCCCCAACGATCCTCAAACTTCTAATCCCTAAAAGGCCGGTAACGCACTTCTAACGCCTCTAGTGTTCCAGGTGTTCATGGGCGACGCCGATTGCTTACCATCAGATGATGCGTCTGCTCGTTTACTGGCTTATGCTATAAAAACAAAAAAAGAAAGATTTGCGTCCCCACAACTCACAGGTTCAATAAAATTCTTAATAATGCTTCATTTACTCGTTATTAGCGCACACAATGAATTTTGCGTCAAAGAATGCCCTACTTAATGAATGTACCGAAAAGAATTAATTATGTAAGAATTAGACAAAGGCTTTAATTTGAGGTATGTCTACTAGAAGGTCTTGGGGAAAATTTCTGAAAATATATTGAGGTAAAATTGGGTCATTATTGCGACGTTTTTCGGTAAATGTCAAGGTAATTTTCCTGTTTTTATTTGCAAACCGCTAATTAAAATATGTAGTATTTCTAGAAATAAGTCTTGAGAGTTTAGTAAACATCAATCTAGATTCTCTGTTTCAGTATTCGTATGTACCTCAATAAGTAGGTCTTCAAATATGAGCTGTTTGAATATCAAGATTATTTTCATCGATTCATTATTCAAGACAAAAAGTGAAGAACTTCGTTTAATTAATATTTATCAATTGACCAATGAGACCATATTTCATCTATATTGTCGGTCTTTTGGTCTTTCGTGGGTCTTACACGATAGTCCACGCATGCTGCGAATGATTGTGGACCCCCAGTGTGGCTTGAAACTACTTGAGTAACTTGATCAAACAGTTTCGTGAGAACCTAATTAATTATACGAAAGTCTATCTAATAGAACTTAAAATAGTCTAACACAAAATTTCATTTTTTATAAAGGTAAGTACGTAGACTTAAGATTAAATTCCTATCTAGTAAAAGAAAAATTTTGTCTGGAATTTAGAAATTACCTATTCTACCTCTATATGTCTGTTTGATCTGGTAATAATGAAAGCGCAATTTACTTTATTACGTAACATAGAAAAACATTTGAATTACCTTTGAGCCTACTTTATTAGACGAAATAGCTTGTTACATTATGTGAAGGCCGAATTAATAAATTAGTGATTTCAAAAAGGTCTCCAATATGCTTGTTACTGAAACTTTTATTATACTTATGTATGAATATGTATTTGTGTGTAACTTTTTTGACCTAGATTCTATATATCTTTAATTTATTAATGAGAATAGACCAAAAACCATGTTTTCTCCTCAATTGTAGATGTTATTTGGTTTTATCTTCATATAGGGAATGATTCAGCTTGGCTACATCGAACACGAGACAATTTCACCATAATAATATTGAACTACATGCCTGTTAATCGAGGTGGATACGTTGTAACTTGAATTACCAAATCAAGATTGCGGTGGAAGCTTAAGAAGTATAAAGGATCGTGGACGCGTAGTAGACAACGCTCAGTGGTTTCTATCTGCTCCTATCGGAACACAGATGTTACATTAACCATACGAATATGACAGTGTAATTCAGAATTGTCCGAATAACACTGTCATATTCGTGTTATTGTCACCACTAGATACACCAATGGCCTATCAAAATGCAATTATATGCGACATTTCAAGAGATAGAGATCAAATTCACATGAGACTTTTGACAGCCTCTTTGGTCACTCGCCCTGTTTTATATTGCCAGAAATGTCCGACTTAGAATTTGCTGTAAATCTCTTAGATAAGAAATAGCTCCGTATCTGGAACTATTCTTAGTCGCCCTTTATTATAATGAGGCTAATAATATGACTAGCAAGCAGTCCATAAATAAATAGCTGTACCTAACCCTCAGGGCAAAGAGGCATACTATTAGTTTATTGAATCTTCTTTTTTTTTGTATTAACCACCAACTGCTTCGTTGGTTGAATTGAACAATTTATAGTGTAGCAAAATGCCAAGTCGCATTCTTTTGCTATAATGGCACGGTATAAAGAAGGATCGTTGTATATGCAAATTACTTCATCTCCAAGGTAGAACGATGATCCCGGAT